TTAGTATGTCTGTCTTTATACTGGAAGAGGCACACACAAGTAAATCTAAGGACTGCAGCGTTTAACGCACTGCGCTGACAGTGCAACGCGATGCTCAAGAAGTTGTTTCCAACGCTTTGCTTTGGCGGCACGGTGGTGGCACCTGCCCGTCGCTTTGCATTCCACACCTTATCACATCCGTGACTGGTGCGCATCTTTCTCCGCGGTCGATCAACGCCTTCGTTTTGAAAGATAACTGCCAGATGGCGCTCGTGTCTAACGTGCCTAGATGCGCTTGCTCGCCTCCGTTACACGCTCGAGGCACTCTAACGTACGCAAGTGCCTTCAGAATACCATGCACCGAATTTCTTGCGCAGAACATCAAATAAACGTTTTCTTCACTCTCTCCAGACGCAAGACTATCGTCTTTCGACATTTACAGTGTAACGTGTAGATTCGGGCCTGTTCTTTGTCTGCCTGTCTGTCCTTTTGTCTATTTGTCCACCCTTAACGATACCAGGTACTTTAAACGGTCCCAGCGGATATCCTTAACGGCCGACCCCATCCGCAGCGCCCACTAATTTTGCCCAAGATTGAGCGTTCATATTTGTGCGAATGTCAAGTAAAAGGCAATTATCGCGCATATCTGAGGCACCACAGCAACACGTATATATTCTGTATGTGCGTCTTTTACTAGAAAAGGCATACATAAGTTATTCTACGGACCGTAGCGTTTATCACGCGGCACTGACCACCAAACGCTTGCACGAAAAGGCAAGTGTTTTCAACGCTTTGCTAAGACGACACGGTGGTGGCCCCTACTCGTCGCCTTGATTTCTACACCTTATCACCTAGAGCCGCACGTTTCGTTGTCCAAGATAACTGCCAGATAGTGCTCTCGACTCACGTGTGACGTGACTCGTTGCGCTCGTTCGATTCCGCTGCATGCTCAAGGCACTCCACGCAGCGCTTTCAGAATACCATTCACCGATTTTCTTGCGCAGAACATCAAATAAACGTTTTGTTCAATCTCTCTAGACGCAAGACTATCGTCTTTCGATGACATTTGCAGATCAACATGCAGATACGGGGCCATTATTTTCTTGAGTTTTCCTATATATTGATAGGTATACATAAACGGTGCCTAATGGCAGCTTTGATAACGGTAAAAACCAGCTGAGACTGTCCATATAATCGCTATTGCAATAAAGTACACATTCTGGTAATGTAAACGTACGTGACTCCAATTGCATAAAAATAGAACAATGCAAAAACAATGATGTAGTGACATGAATGAGCTTATGTTTTGTATTGGCTGTAGAATTCTTCGCAAGGAAAGTCCTTTTTGTTCTTTAAAATCAGCGAGTGTAACATCACAGTTGATTTCGTGAGACAGACGATTTACTAAGGCGGGTATCTGAGAAGTGATGGTCGACATTCTGTAATTTGTGCGCGTTTGTGCTATTGGTATCTCTGTGTTATGTAGGGTATACCGTCCAAATGTTTCGTGTGTCTCGTTTGACAGAGTAAATTATTGCACGTGCAAAAGAAGTTTGCAGTAATCTAATTTACACACATTGAGCAAATAGTGAATGATAAACAAAGGATTGCTTGTCAAGCGGTTCTGTTCGCATAAGTATATGCCTGAGCACTTTCTCTTGCGTTATTTGCAGTTTATTGGGATTGGTAATCGTTGGGGTGCCCCAAACCGGTGCCCCGTATGATAAGCGGGACTATAGTCGCTTTATGAGCCTGTCGAAATTATCAATATCTTACTAATGCTTTCCGTATTACTGCCAATACTAATGCTTACACTGGCTATCACCACTGCTGCTATCATCTTACTTTTGTGCTTATGAACTGGTAAAAAGTTACTCCGTAATGTATGCTACAGTTGTGTGAAGTAAGATTTTGTATTGTGTTTGTATTAGGAGCGAAGCTCCTTAAGGCGTGGGCTGTGCGTCCCCTGTATGTAGCCACCTCTCGTTCAGTTCTGAGTATTACGCTAGCCACCGCCCGATCTAAAGGGTACAGCCATATCCATCCGCCCATCCGTCCATCCGTCCGTCCATCCATTCATCCATCCATCCATCCATCCATCCATCCATCCATCCATCCATCCATCCATCCATCCATCCATCCATCCATCCATCCATCAATCCATCCATCCATCCATCCATTCATCCATCCATCCATCCGTCCATCCGTCCGTCCGTCCGTCCGTCCATCCATCCATCCATCCGTCCATCCGTCCATCCGTCCATCCATCCGTCCATTCGTCCATCCATCCGTCCATCCATCCGTCCATCCACCCGTCCGTCCGTCCGTCCATCCGTCCATCCGTCCGTCCGTCCGTCCGTCCGTCCGTCCATCCGTCCATCCGTCCATCCGTCCGTCCGTCCAAAAGATGCAAGATGTTATAAACTAGACGGTGGTACGTGTAGTTGATTATGAAAGATGCGAGGTGTTATAAAATAGGAATGATGCCACATATGGCGCGTGTCATCGTTCGATATAGTGCGGCGACGTACGCTAGGGGGAGCGTTGCAATAAAATCGAGTGGGCAAAATGTACGGAGGATTCATGGTTTACCAGGTATACCTCCGGAGCTTCGCCCACTCATCATCATTCACTTCGTGGATATGGCGGCATTTTTTTTATATTACTGCCAAAGTTTTTTGAAATCCGCCTGCTGCCAACCAGCACCCGCCTTGCTGTTCGTGACAGCTTTCTTCTATGGCAACGCCAGCTAGCTAACTGAAAACGAACAGAATTTTCATTCATTATCACTCTCTTGCACCTTACGTGCAATTACTGCTGTCATATAAATGCGAAATCTGCGCGATTGCGATCAAATTATTTCGTTTCTCCGTTCGTTTTTTTTTATACAGAACCTAAATGTGTCCATATTAGGCTTCATCTTTTGCCACTATTTAACTTCGCCTCTAGCACTGTACAAATAAGCGTGCTATTAATTTTTCAAGGCGCGTCGCGGTATAACATTACACTAAAGCGCGCATGTATTATTGCTTTTCCAATTGCCGTGCGTTTTATGAACCGCGGTAAACACACGACACCCTCAGCGCCCTCTCCGGCTTCCAATTACTGGGATGGAGAACCAATGACACTTTTTTTTTACAGTTTAATCTGCAGACGCCAAGGAAGTGCTGCTCAGCGCGCTTAGTGCTTTCGTGGGGCGATGCTTATGTTCTGGGTTCTCGAACATTATTCGTTGAGCGAGGATCTCTGGAACTTTACTCTTCATTAAAAAATGGTTGTTCAGGAGTGGGTGCTGTCGAGATTCATAGCTAGCTATGCGTGCTATTATGGCCTACTACTATTACTCCTTCCGTGACTTCTTGACTGATTTCAAGAGAGAGTTACCCGTTGACCTAGGGATGCAATCTGGATACCCAGCCTGCTGAAGACGACCAAGTTGGGCTTGAAAGCTTTCTTGTACCACATTATGGCAAGACTTCTGCAAAGCATTCTTTAAGCACGTGCTTGCAACCCTTTTTTTCACAAGTTTAGAGTGAGTGGAAGTCAAGGGAAGGAAATGTTTATGGACGCATGGCTCGTATTTCCTTATGTACTGGAATCCTTTCCGGCAGGACCGAGTTTCATTACACTGACTCATGAGTTGCTGGAAGAGGCAACCATCAGATTTTTAGACTTGCAGCGAAGCTTTCAGGGTTCTCATGTGTGCAGCAAATACGAAGCGAGTGCTGGTAAATCTTTGCTTCCTTTCTCTTCCAGTCACTCTAAACTTGTGAGAAGAGGGGTTGCAAGCACGTACTTAAAGAATGCTTTGCAGTAGTCCTGCCATCATTTGGTACAAGAAAGCTTCAAAGCCCAACTTGGTCGTCTTCCGTAGGCTGCGTATCCAAATTACTACATAACCAGGTCAGTGGCTAACTCTACTTAAATCAGTTAAGATATCACGGAAGGAGCAAGAGCAGCAAGAATTCCAAAATGAAAATGGGAAGTTTCGTAGGACAGTGGTGATACCGTACTTTCACGACGCTCCCATGATCTAAAAATTATTAGGGCCCATGTTCGAGTGAAAGTGGTTTTTGCAGAACCCCGTAAGTTGTGTTTTTGAAAAGTAGAGAAAAAATGCAAAGAAAACAAGTGCATGCCCCCTTAACCACTGAAACAAATTTATGGATTGCGTGTACAAAGTGTGTACGTGATTCCATTCACATGCGGAAAGAAATATGTAGGCCCGACGGGCAGGTGCCTAAACGAAAGACTGCGAGAGCATTACAAAAATGTACGCAAGTCTGGGCAAGGACACCTATGCTTTCATTGTTGAAATCGCAGACGTCAGCCAGATTTTCGCAAAACTAAAGCGACAGCTGTAGGCACAATAATCAGATGACGCATGAAATAACTGAGGAATCCGAGATTATCCATCTGCAAGATGACTGCGTCAGTATAGCTTCATGGGCACTGGCGCAGAAAGAAATGCTGTATCTTAACACGTGTTGCAAGATGTGTGATAGGTGCGTGCTACCTCTGCATGACTGGTCATTTGAATTACACTGTATGAAAGTTTTGTGATTCAATTTTGTAAACCTATTTTTGTAGCCATGAAATGCGATTGCATAAAAGGATCATGTGCCTGTCAAATAAACTCATTTGAAAGTTGGCGCTTGTGTACGTCTAGTCCTTCATCTTAAGTGTGTCTTTTAAGCAAGCAATGGTTCAGTATCACAGTAGACTAGCGCAAAAGGCTAAATAGAGAAAACCACCGAACACAGCCGCGAACTGTAAACTGATTTTTTTTTTTCAGAAAGCACACACTCGTGCGATCAGTCACATCGTCCAAACTTAAACGAGAAGAAACAAAATTTGATTTAGTGGCTAGCACTCAAAAACATATTTCCGTGGCATGCACTGTGTTCGCGTTCGGCAGCTTTCTTTGTTCGTGTTCTTTGTGCTAAATCAAACTGAGAATTGCAAACAATGGTTTAAAAACGGGGTGGTGGATGTCCTAAGCAACATTAGCCTGTCTGCAGGAGAATGGCGAGCAGCAGCGTTCCGAGCGGAGTGTGGATGCTGGCGCTGTTGGTGCTGGGCTCGTTGCTAGGCGTTCTCGGCGAGCCACAGGCCGGTGGTGATTGGAATTCCCTGTCCGGCATGTGGGGCAAACGCGCCTCCAACGACTGGAACCGACTCTCCAGCATGTGGGGCAAGCGGGGACCTTACGTGCCCTACCAGGTACGCTGGGTGTGCTTTCATTCTCCATCATAACGTTAGACAGAAAGGACAGATGTCGCTCATCTCAGTGTGATAGGTGGTTGAGCGATTCGAGCAAAAAGCTTGTATCGCTCAAATTTCGGGGCGGGCATTGGCATTCTTGGTTGTGAAGGAAAAAGAAGGGTTGTTCATAAGTCAAAATTTCAGATAACTACACAACAAAAAAGTGCAGACCCTTATGTTTCAGCTTTAACAGTTGAATGCAAAAGTGACATTCTATTCCTAGTGCGCAATTCAAGCACTTAGTGTATAACATTTTTCTGAACTTGCTATGCACCCACTACGTGGTCATAAGGGCATACTAGCGTGTGGGCATTTTGTAGTTCGTGACGTTCTTTAATCTATGAAGTCGTTATGAAAATTACATATTCTGACGCCCGATGCCAACGTACGCTTGTACCACGCCATATTAGGGCTATATTTCATGTTGTATTGTGAAGCATGTATACAATACTTATGTGTTTGTGACGTATGAACGTTAGTTGATAAGCATTTCCAAGAAAAAGTTATTTTCACTGTATTCACAAGCCGAATCGTTGCTGTGTGGTTGAAAGGCTGCTCGCCAGACAAACGACCCACCCGAGTTCAATCCCCACTGAGAGCCTGAATTTGTCATTTATTTCATATGTAAGTTTCTCGACTTTTATTCATGCAAAGTTGATTATGTTTCGCTCACGACAAATCATGTCGACTCTGACGCCTGCGCAGACGCCGCAATTTCTGGCGAAACCAGCTCTTACGCTATCACGTTAACACGTTTGTGACATTCGCACTGCTTACTATATTTGTACGAAATTCTCCGAATACGAAAAAACTAGAAGTTCATAACCGGTGGGTAAAGAAACGGATAGTGGAAGAACAGCGATACGCAAGTTTATATGAGAAGTCTTTCATTTCACTTGAATATGTCTAAGAATATGCAAGAGGAATATTCAATCGGAAACGTTCACCAACATAATTTTTCTAAGAAAATAGATTCGGGCGTTGCTACTGTAAGACAAACTTCTTTTGCGACCTCGTTAAAATAGTTCAAAACACTCCGTATTGGAAAGGACAAGGTACCTGAACATACAGCCTTAAGCCCAATATACTTGACAACTTTTTTAATGTAGTGAAAGCAGAAAAGAACGGAACTGCTATGACTGATTTGTATATATAGTGATCAATGCTCATTGCAGATCCAATGGCCACTACCCATAAAAACTTTCCACAATGCCACTATTGTGTGAACCGAAGGCCTTTGACACCTGGACTGAAGAAAAAAAAAACTACTAGCAGCTGTTTTGTTCACGAATGCTACCAATGAGCAAAGCTCCATAGAAATGGGCGCAAACGACCAGGCTCCTGATCTCGTTGCTGGCTTTCGTGAAAACGGTAGGAACGGTAGGAGGGGGGAGCGTCTGTTTGTCTTGGGGGCATGAATCATTGAAACTTGGAGCACTTGGTAGGACATAACTAAATGTACGAACAGTGAAATCTAGAAGTAGGTACAACGTAACTACGGATGAAAAAAACAAGGAAAGAAAAGAGCGCTGACTTTAAACTATGATTTAAAAGCGGAGTGGTGTACATACGTAGGCGAAAAAACAAGAGAACGTGCATGCGTAGAAGGGTGCAGTCAACAACCATTGCGATACAACGTCAGCGAAACTCTTTTTTCTTGTTGATTGAGCTTCAAACAAATGAACAGCTTAAAAATGATCAAGACACGGAATCTCTTTTTGCAGCAACGCAACTGATGGGGAACTTACACATGCGCCAATAAAGTCACAAGCATGAGTGCGGGCATGAGTGTGGTCATGACCTCTTAGGAGGTCATGCCCGCACTCGATGCGACGCAGTTTTTAAGCACAGGTTGAGCACCACTTACGCGTTGGTTACTCGAACGCCCAGATTTCTGCTGTTGCAAAAAAAAAAGCTTTTGAAACCAAGAAAAATCAAGGAGGACAATATCACCCACAATATGCATCAGCTCTCAAAAAGTTTGTGGCAGCCTCATATCTGCACAACGCTTCGCATAGGCTGAGAAAATCTGGATGCGTGCTGGTAGCACTGTTGTGTAATCCACCCCGGAAAAGCTACCCAAAATTTGTAAGTTGGTTAATCGTACAGCTGCAAGTGGAGTAAAATGCTCGGTGAAACACATAGCCCGCTTTGTTTCTTGTGCTGTTGTTGCCGCGTATCTTCTCCTGTTTTTGTGCTCTAATTTACACATAGGAAATACTGGAACATACTTAAATAACCGTGCCTTGACATCACATAGTACACGAGCCTCTACCGTTTCGCCTCCATCAAAATGCGACCGCCGCGGCTACGATAGAGCCCACGACTTTGGGTTCAGCATTAGAGCATCCTATAGCCTAAACTCCCTAAAATTAAAAAATGGTCCACTGAAGTGGACCATATTTAATATTAGGGAGTTTTAGAATACCGTTTGCAAGCGCTGCGGGTGTTGCGGGCGTAGCAGGTGCCATATGAGTTTTAGAATAGCGTTTGCCCTGCTGCGATCCGCAACGCACGATAGCAGTGACACCGTAGCCTCGAAATCAGCGCTTGCGTGCCACATACGGGCCGCCATCACCAGCCTTACCCTCGAAACCAGCGTTTGCGGGTCACAAGCGGGCCGCCATTACCGCACGCAATTTCGGATTTTTTGCAAGTGGTCCACGAACGCGAACGCCGACTCGCGCTACGACGCATGCGCAGTGGCAGCGATCGCACCGCAAGAGCTTGCGGTGCGCTATTCTAAATCTCTCTATTATCTGGGGCTTGCGGGGTACCCCCGATAAGCATAACGTCAACAATCTCACCCATTTTCGCACAAGCAGCTCAAACACCCAGCAGCGAGAGCCTCTGCACATGCGCCCGAATCCGGACATGCTTGATAACCGGACGCATCAAGTGGCAAGGGGAGAGTTGGCGGTGAACCGCCGTGCTGTCTGCGTATGGGCGGAAAGTGTGGCCCGCAGGAGCCAGGGTTAACGGCACTGGGGATGGATTGTTCGCGGAAGCTTGCGTGCATGTATTTACATTTGTTCTTTTAATTGTTTTTGAACCTTCAGTTATAAATTGCTTTTGAGATACCCAGAAGTCGAGGAGTGCCCCGGTTCCATGGAGTGCATGAAGAACCCCACATCGTGGCGCCCAACGTGCGAGAAACGTCTGCTCCGGCAAGCGTGGAGGCCGCACTGAAAAACCTTCCAGACTCGATAGAGTGCCTCGACCTGGCAACAGCAAAGCTCAGCGCGGCGCGGGAAGACGTCGCGTTCGCAGCGTACTTGGCAAAGAAATACCCAGTGGCCCCGACTGCAAAATATAGCAGAAGCTGGACTGAATGAAGACGCTGGCAGCGTGGCCCAGCAGGCTGCAATCGTAGGCGACGCCGACGTGGAGGATGATTAACCCGCCGCGGTGAGTGAGAGTACGAGCGGGTAGACGACGCGACCTGCCGCTGATGCTGGCGCCGACACCACATTGTATGTCAACTAGAGCACGGATCAACGGCAAGGCCGAGCCTCTTGTGAAGTTGTGATGCTTCCGACTGCGCAAAGAAGTGTGCTGGTGCCGAGTAACGAGCTGGAGAGGAAGGAAAAAAGATAGTAACGACGCAGAGGAAGGTTACGCCACTTCGTATAAGTGACGCCCAACGTGTGTAAGTGACCACGTCTGGCAAGCAAGACGGATGCGACGCTGAAACAACTCTAAGTATAGAACGGCTCCACATAGCCTCAACAGTGTTCAGATCGGTGGGGGGACACATTGAGTCGATGGCCTATTTTGCGGCGTGGGGTTTTCGCGTCTCGACTACAGACGATGACCATCAGCCTCGTTTTGGCGAGTAATGTACACCTCCACAATACTACGAGGCCGCAGGTGACAGTTATGCCGATGGGCAGGCTCAGATTGCGGAGCTATCAGCAGACCACGCCCTGGCGGTGGCCGCAGGCGAGGATGACAAAGATGTCACGTAAGACTCGGATATGAAATTCGGAAAATCAAGTCCTATAGTCGAGAAGCCCATGGTTGAGCATGCCAAGGACAACAAGATGGGAAGCCCACATACGTTTTGGCGGCAATACAATATCGAGGTGCCAGCGACGGTGCTGGGGCGGCCTTGGTTATGCCTTTTACCGCCAAAGACTACTCGAGAATGGGCGTGGCGAAACATTCCACTGCAGCGAGAGTGAGTAGCCGTGTGGAGACTCCGAAAGATGCTGAAGCTGCTGGTGACGAGACACCGTTGCCTAGAAAGCCTGAAACAGTGACGACTACGGAGGTCAGGGAACAAGTCACCAAGAAGGCCGTTGGCCCGCCGTGGTGGTCTAGTGGCTAAGGTACTCGGCTGCTGACCCGCAGGTTGCGGGTTCAAATACCGGCTGCCGCGGCTGCATTTCCGATGGAGGCGGAAATGTTGTAGGCCCGTGTGCTCAGATTTGGGTGCGCGTTAAAGAACCCCGTGTGATCGAAATTTCCGGAGCCCTCCACTACGGCGTTTTTCATCATCAAATGGTAGTTTTGGGACGTTAAACCCCACATATCAATCAATCAAGAAGGCCATTGCACGCAGGAAGGAGGCTTACACGACCTCAAGGGCGACAGCAGAGACGGCAGCAAAAAACGGCGGAATCTGCAACCTGTGTGTGAGTGGTATGACCGTAACTACTGGGACAGGTAACATATATGCGTGGCAAGTCCAGGAAGGCAATGCAGACAATGGCTTACGTTGCGAGCAACACTCCTGGCACAGACCGTTGAGGCTTAAACACGTGAACGAAGCACGAGACCGGCGGCACAGTGCACAAATATCAGGGGTGGACGCAGGCTGCCATGGTGGCACAGCAAAAAAATAGAAAAAGACGCAGGCTGCCATGGCGGCTGAAACAACGCCCGCGTACGCTGCGACTACTGGCAAAGTGCCCAAGACGGCACCAACTGCCATGAGGACGTCGTTAGTGTTGAAG